TCCTGTTTGGAGACATTTCAGGTCTGTAAGTCTGAGCATAGGGCAGTCAAGGAGGTTCCCTTCTACCAGGAAGACGTAACAAGGCAGTGAAAGAAGTTCCTTCGTCTTACCGGAACCAAGAATTTAAAACATGAGCTAATTGTCTTTCTGTTTGGTGTGTAGTGCAATCGGAAGCAGCCTGCCACGCATCTTTGCATTCCTCATTTGCATCATAATAGTGCAATATAGCCACAGTGCAGCCTGCGGAAGGCTTGTCTTTAATAGCCATTCCATTCCAAGCGACTCTGGGTCATCGGTTAGCTATTTGCCTCATGAAAAGCAGTATCTTATTTCCCACTGGAGTTATTACACCCTATAAACCCAACTAGGTCAGATAGCTAATGCCATATAATCTTTAGAACCATTTCTTGGTCATGTTTAGTATTACATACCTAGTTAGATAACGTTCAGTATATGAAACTGAAACCATTCTAGGTATATTAAACAGTGGAAAAAACATACCACATACAGTTCAAAGCATTAAATGCTCTGAAATTAAATCTATTGGGAACTTGGAAACATGAAGGTCAGAAAACTACCTTTAGCTTTGCCTTCAAATGTGTATGACAATTTGCCATAATTGCTGTTACTATGACAACTGTCTGCATCCACAGGATGGATATAAAGACAGTGGAACATGTAGGCCAGCCGTTGTCAACATTTTATCTGGAAAAGCCTGTTTTTCTAATTGTACTACCATAAGATGCATCTGTTTCCTCTGCTTTCTTAAAATTTCAATTGACTGCCTCGTTGACAAAAGCTACATTTGTCAAAGGATCACAAGCTCACAAGGGAATCTGAGAAATGTCGTTTTTTGTTTCCCTGTCTCTGCAATACTGAACAAGAGAGCACAGGAACATGAATGGATTCACTGTGCAAACAGTGTCTAGCAGGCTTACTTAAAGATGGTACTGGATTCCAGCCCTCTAGGATACAAACTTCAAGTCTCAATTGTAATTATACATTAGAAATCTGTTCCTCAGATTCTTCTGGCTGCTCTTTCGTCTCAATTTCCCATATTTTCCTTCTGTAGAAAATATTAGATTGCATTTTTATAATGATTGACCGTAATTTTTCAGGCAAACCCCAAAACACTTATTTTTTTACTAAATATAAATTTGGAGAGAGGCTATTTTTCTTTTGTGATCCCATAGCATCTTTAAAATTTTCACAATTAGAACTGAAAACAGAACACATTAAAATTTTCACAATTACAACTGAGAACAGAACACATCTGACATCCAGGGATGTGGCTCAGTGGTAGAGCTCTTGCTTAGAATGCATGAGGCCTCAGTTTGACACCCAGCACTAGAAAATGATGTATGTTAGATTTAGGAGGGCAGAAAAAGGAAGAAGTTTAAAGTTAAGAAATAAGAACAAGAGCCAGACCTGCAACAGGCAAGGAATATGTTCCTTTATTCAGAACATAGCAGCAAAGGGCCTCTGCCATCCGTCCGTGGAAAAAAGCATTAGCAAAAGAAAGCAGAGCCATCTGGACTTAAAGGAACTCTGCTCAACACAGCTGTAGAATTTGCTCAGTACCAGTGTCCTTAGGGTAATTGAGGGTCTTCTTCCTGAGAGTATTTTCTCAGAATGAGCAGGCAAGTTATCTTATGGCACAGCAGGATTTGAGTCGGCCGTATAAACAGTCTCTGTCAGCTGGAGAAGTGAGCAGTTGAGAAGGCGAGAGCAAAAGCCAAGCCACCAATATGGACCATTTGGCTACCTTGAGGAATTTATGTCTTTATGGCTTCCTTTAAGAAGCTTATGGCTGTCCTATAATTTACACATCCTATCAATATATACTTGAAATCCAACTATATATGAACTAAGTATATAATATGCCTGTGAAATGTTGCCTGGAATCCCCAGAGTAAGGCCATTATAGCACAAGCCTCAGAGGTGAAGCAAGACTTGCTAGCATAATGCTTCCATAGCATGCAAGACTCATCGTAGACCCACTCCCTCATTTCCAAAGAGCTAGGTAATCATTATTCTTGAAAGACTGGTTCTTAGGATCCTTTCTTCACAGGGCGGTGAAACTCAGCTTAAATACAATGCATCACAGGTGACAAAAGAATCTTAACTGGAATGTTCCTTTTACCCATGGCAAATACAAAGAAAATAATTTTAAACTAAAAGGAGCAACAATCTGTCTTCTCTAAAAGAAAAAGGAGGGGCTGGAGAGATGGGTCAGCGCTTAAGAACACTGACTGTTCTTGCAGAAGACCCGGGTTCAAATCCCAGCACCCACATGGCAGCTAACAACTGTCTGTAACTCCAGTTCCAGGGGATCCAACAGTCTCTTCTGACCTCCGCGGGCACTGCACGACATGGGTGTGCTTATCTACATGCAGGTGATACATGCATACACATAAAATAATAAATAAAATATTATAAAAAAAGAAAAAGGAAGGAAGTGTGCGAGGGAGGGTAGGAATAGAGAGGGCTGAGATGAGGATCCCATGAGGAAAGGGTTGAGAATGTGAACGGCTCAGTGTGAGGAACGCACATCCTAGTGAGGGTGAGTCAAACGTTCTGCCCCAGTAGTTAATATACAGTGCTTCAATTGGCATGGAATTGAATATTTATTCTTTTATGTGTATTGAGTGAATTGCCTGTGTTGTGCAATGCCCTCAAAAGTCAGAAGAGGGCATCAGAGTCCCCTGGAACTGGAGTTACGAATGGTTGTTAGCCACCATGTGGGTGCTGGGACATGAACTCCAGGTCCCCTGTAAGAGCAGCCACTGCTCTTAACTGCTGTGCCATTGCTCCAGTCCCTGAACTGGCATCTTATCAATTAGTTACTACAACAAAAACTACTTCCACCTCCAGGTTTTCTCCCACATAGGGTAATTGAGTTGCACATATGGAACAAATTTGTAAATTAAGATACTCCTAATAAAAATTTTAAAACCCACAAAAACAACAGTGACAAGCCGTAGAAAATTAAACTCCAGTGCATTAGGAAAATTCCTTTATATTGTCAGACAGGCACAAAATCTCACAAGTGACAGACCATCTCAGTCCATGAACATCTGGACTGTCCCTCCAGTCTAGGGCTCATTAACACAATCACCTCAGAAATGGAATAAGCCAAAGCAGACAGGTACCAGGCCTGGTAAGCGGCCTGTAGCCAATGGCTCTAACAGTGGTTCTTTATCTGTTTTGTTTGTTTCTCAAGTGAGCCAGGGAACAAGCGCCTAAGCGAAATCGCCACTCAAGGGACAGCCACATGACTTGGTTGTCATGGCAGTTTCCTTTCTTCCCACTCTTCAGGAGATAAAACTTGAAAATCACTGGGAGCTCTAAAAGATTTTCATGACTATCCCCCTGCAACTAGCTTTTACAAATCTTGCTGAGGACACCGCAACTCTCTTCAATTAGCAACTGCCCTAGGCAACACAGAACCTACCAGCAAAAAACAAAAACACTGAGAGATTCCATGTTTCAAAATGTGATGTGTACTAAAATGATTCTGGATGCCTGGTGTGTGGAATGAATGAATGAATGAATGATGTTAAAGCTGAAACTAGTCACCAGTCACTGTCAGCACAGAGTACAAGCACAGAGAATAGAGCTTCAGTAATTTACTACCCTGGAAAGGTCACTGTTCTAGGTTTCAGGTGTTTCTAGTCAAATATTTAATAAATTCTCTACTTTCTACTTAGAAAATTATTCTTTTAGTGAAAAGGTTTTAGCACAAGGGAGACAGAATCCTTGTTCACTGGGTAGCAGCTACAAGGTATGTGGCTGCTCTGTGATGATAGAAATGATCAGGGCTGTGAACGGGCTAGCTTACAGTCACCCTCCATAAACTTAAGGAATATGTGATTTAAATATGAGAATATGGGACAGAGAGATGACTCAGCGGTTAAGAGCACTTGTTCTTACAGAGGACCAGGTTTGATGCCCAACACCCACATTGTGGCTAATTATCCATAACTTCAGTTCCAGGGGATCTGACACCGTCTTCTTTGGGCACTGCACACACGTGGTGCACTTACATACATGCAGACAAAACATTCATACACATAAAAATAATAAATAATAACTAAAATATAAATGTGAGAATACAAGAGCTCTTCATTTATGGGAGAATAATTTAGAATGGTGTACTTTACATCTGAAAGCAAGTCAGGTTAATTTTAATAAAAATATACTACCATGAAAAAAGAGCTTTTCACAGTGTCAAGCTCTTATAAAGCCAGCACTCTGGAGGAGGGGCCAGAGGATAGTGAGTTCAAGGCCAGACTGGACTACTCAGCAAGCACCAAACCAGCCTGAGCTACACAGCAAGACCCTGTCTCAAAAATAAATGAATGAATAACCACAAAAATAATAAGCTTTTAGCCAGAAACTTTTAAAAATCTTTTTTTTAATTTATTTATTTTTATTTTATGTGTATGAGTGTATTGCCTGCACGTAGGTAAGTGCACCCGAGTCATACAATGCAATGCCCACAGAGGTCAGAAGAGGCGTCAAATCCCCTGGGACTGGAGTTGCAGACAGTTGTTAGCTGCCACATGGATGCTGGGATTCGAACCCGGATCTTCTGCAAGAACAACCAGTGTTCTTAACCGCTGAGCCATCTTTCCAGTCCCTTAGCCAGAAACTTTTTAAAAAATATTTTATTATTTTTAGTTTATGTGTATGAGTGTATTGCCTGCATGTGTGTAAGTGCACCGTGTTGTGCAGTGCCCATGGAAGTCAGAAGAAGGCATCAGATCCCCTGGAACTGGAGTTACAGGTGGTTGTCAGGCACTATGTGGGTGCTGGGAATCAAACCCAGATCCTCTGCAAGAGTATCTACTAGTGCTCTTAACCACTGAGTCATCTCTCCAGCCCCAAGCCAGAAACTCTTAAGAGACCCAACATCTAGTTTCATTTCTTTTCTACATAAGAAATTGGAAGCAGAAAATAAATGAGAACGTCAACAAATAAACTGATTAGCCAAGAAGATCATTTTTCCCACAGCAGTAGTATATTTATTGTGCTGAAATCAGGTAGCGGGGAATGAATTGCTCTGGAAACCCAGTACAGAATGTTCACAAAGATTTACACATCTCTAGTCATTACACACTGGAGCAAAAACAAAAGTACTGAATCCTCTTAGACCACACTACTGTATGTGCTGTGAATTTTCTGTGATGCTCGTGACTGCATGCCTTTGTGGAAAATGTAGTTTTAATGCACAATAAATATAGTTTACAAAATACTCTGAAAGTCTGTACAAACAGCACATATCCTACACATGCAGTTTTGACGTGGTGAGAAATTTAGAAATAACCATGCTGTTTTTGTCACTTTTTCTCTTTCCTTACGACCCCTCTGTGACATACCATAACAAATTAATTCATGTGAGATATTTGGAACAAGTTCTCTTATACATTTTTCCACTTGTCCACTTCTATTACATGGAATATATCTTTTTTAAGTAGCAAGTTTAACTTGATAGCTCTAACTGGCTCTTATTTTCCACTCATCCTGAATTAATAAGTAATACCTTGCAGCATCAAGCACTGACTGGTGCAATCTTTAGCACCAAGGAGTCAAGATTATTGCACCAAAATGGGTTTACACTTCATATCTGGTTAATAAAGATTCTGCAACTTAGTCACAAAGGATATAATATGCCCAAATTAAATACATTGAAATACCTGGATGGTATCCTAGAAACGTTTGGTGTATGCTATTTGTCAAAATAAAATAAAATAAAATAAACCCATAAAGCTAGTGAATTTGAAAGTTAAAACTCAATTTTATATTAGAGGACTCCTTGATTTTTTTTTTAAATTAAAATTTATTTCATTTTAAATGTTCTTTCCAACAGAAGAGGTAGGTTTATTTCCACATATGAAAAATCAGGAACAGCCACAAATCAAAACAAGGAAAGCCCGATAAAATCCATACTTGCACATAAAGGTAACCACCTTAGATGTTACTAATAAAGACATGAGTTATTTCATGTTTCAATCAGACAATAATCTTGATTTTCATAATACATTTCTGCTAATAACAGGAGTATTCAAAGGCTACCTTTTCATCACAAAAATTGTTTCCCACAGTGATTTGTGCCACATTGGGGGCCTCTGGGTCAATAGACAGGATTTTACTTTTATTCTTTCTTATCTTCACCGACACCATCATCATCAAGCCTCTAAGATTCTACAGAGATTAGAAGACTTTTTAAATTTAATTACAACCAAAACAGTATATTCTGACTAGAGGTGGAGAGATTTGACCACAATGGTCAATAAATGAATTCAAATGTGCAAATTCAAATAGATCCGCATTTCCATCACTGGACAAGAAAGTGTTAGGTAATTGATTGCAATCAGTAGGTCATTGGTAATTTAGCCAGAAATGTTCATAAAATTCGAGTTTCTATGATCATCTGAAATTCAGACTGAAGAACTGAGTGGACACCAGATAGATGAAAATTTCACCCACTGGACAAGTAGATGTGACTAGGAGGGGAGACTCCAAGGTCACAATGAGATTGCTTTGATCTGGACAACAAGGCTAATAAAAAATGTTTAAAAATAAAAACTTCATAAATAAAACATCTGGGTACCACATTGAATGCTTGACTCAGTCTAAAGGTGAACAGAGTACACCTGCCTTTCTCCCTAGCCCAGACCCTCTGCTTCTGTTGTCCCTGAAATTTTATATTACACAGGAGTTTCCTCACTGCCAACCAGTTAAGGCCCAGGTTCAATTTACTCTCCTTTTGGTTTTCCGTTTTTCTGGGTTTTCCCATTTTCTAACACTAGCTGCTTTTCTGACTTGCTCACACCATTTGCTGAAATACCATTCACGGCTGTCTTTCCAGCTTTTGATTTCTTAGGCTCATTGTATGTCCGAGTGTAGAAGTTCAGAAACAGAAATATGAAGCTGATGGCATAGGCTATCAGAGCCCAGTGCATCCATTTGGGGAAGGGGCAGTCGGTGTAGAGAGAGAGTGCTGTGTGCCCAATGGTCACGTGGAACTGAACCTGAAAGACAAAAACAGCAGCGCATGGCACATCTCATGAGAACAGTCGACAGCTCCTAAGGCCAACATCAGGCCTGTCACTTTGTTTGAGAAGTCCGATGTCTCTGCTTACCTCTTACTGAGATCACAGTTCAAATACCACCCACTTGGCAGAGCCTTCAGTGACCTTGGTGGGCCTCTCACCTCTGCACAGCAGCTCTGAGTTTTGTTTATAAAGATGATAACCATCTGAAGCTGCATCCCGTATGTGTCGGCCTCCCTACTGTCCACTAGACTGTCACTCCCAAAGGTGGGCTCCACCTGCTCACTGATCGACCCAGAGTCCCAGGCACAGATTTTATGTTTGTGAATACTGGAAGAAGGTTAAACTGGCCCAGAAGAGTAATGCAGTAGTAACACAAGGCCTTCGTTTATTTTTTTCCTTCCTATGGTGTAGATTGATTTTTTTTCATACTAAACTGTCAGCAAGTATATACGTTTACAGAATTATTTTTTAATTAAAATTTTAAACAGGCATACAAAATAATGAGTTCTTTGACATCTTCAAACATGCACATCACTGTATTTTGCTCACCCTGCATCTCCCCACCCATTGGCTTCCTTCCTCCCCAACATTGTCCTCCTCAAATCATGTAAGGTATATAAACCTTAAAAATGAACTGAAGCTTAGCCGGGCATTGTAGCATACGCCTTTAGTCCCAGCACTCAGGAGGCAGAGACAGGTGAATCTCTATGAGATTGAGGCCAGCCTGGTCTACATATCGAGTTCCAGGCCAGCTGGGACTACAGGGAGACCCTGTCTCAAAAAGATTAAAAAAAAAAAAAAAGCTTATCAAATTGGCTCATTACTTGTCTCTTACAGAGAGCAAGCAGACAGGCATCTTTGTGTTTAAATGAATACTATTCTTTAAAAATTAATATTCCAATTAAAATCAGTAAGTCATCACAAAGAATTACCTAAGAATTACTCTAAGAATTCTTAAGAAGAGAACATCCAAAACATTGAGATGCTCAAAATAATAAACTTAAATTCTGACATATTAATCAGTGAATGGTGTGAAACAAAAGGAATTAGAAAGTCCATGAACTCAGCATAGGATTCTTATATGATTAACCGGTCCAAGGACTTCTGGCTTAAAAATACAAGTTCAACATCCTATTTGTAATGGGAAAATATAGTTTCTTTGTTAGCAAAATCATCAATATATCTATTATATTAAATATTAAAATAATTTATTCCACACAAGTCAGAAGTTGATATTAAATTTTACAATTCCCATGGCAAAAATCCAGATTTTCAGGACTTTGGATTTCACAATGGTTCTTAGAACCTGTACCACCGAAAATGGTGTGTACAGGGCATGACTGAGTATGCTGTAGTCCAGGGCTAGCTCAGGGCAGGCCCCAACAAAGCAGCTAAAATACTTGAGATGATTTTGGTTACCCCTTTATTTTCTGGGGACCACTTAACTATGACTGAGAGGTGAATCATACAAATGGTAGAAACAGCTTGCACCGAAGCCAGAGGAAGGTTCTTGTAGCATTTCTCTACTGATGAATCCTTCACACCCAGCATTCCCACAAAGGCTGTGTTTCTTGTTTGGTTAGGTGGCTGTTTAGCAACTCAGAGATGGATATTTCCTAATCTGATAAAACTGCACACACTATGATTAAAGCATATTAGAATACACTCCAAAGCCTAGAGATTAACTACCAGCTTGATTTGCATTTTCAGTTTGATTATAGGTCAGTCAGGGCTCGGCATGGAGCTCTGATGTATGCACTCAGATGCTAAGACAAGTCCTACCAGGAGGAGCTGTGGAGATGGCATCCCTGAACACCTAGCTCAAAAGCTGGCTGTCTTCAAGGAGTACTGCAGAACTGGGACTTCTCTAGCCCTCACTCCCTTCCTTCCCTCTACCCTTCCTTGGCTCTGTGCTTTCTTTTCTACATATATGAGGTCTATAACAAGAACTTAAAAAAATAAAAAGGAAAAAATGGGAATTTAAGCAAGGATGAGAAGATGTGAGAGAAAAATCACTTAAAGCCGGGCATGGTAGTCCACGCCTTTAATCCCAGGCAGAGGCAGCCTGGTCTATATAGTGAGTTCCAGGCCGGCTGTAACTATAGGGAGACCCTGTCTCAAAAGCACCCACACACAAAAAAAAAAATCACTCAAGAAAAATAATTCTTATTTTTTTCATCATATATGAATCTATATGTTTCATGGCATGTGTACATTTTAACCATTCATCCCACAGGTGATTTTACAGAATGGTTCTCTCAGAGGTACAGGTGCTGGATTTGATCTTTGAGGACATAATAGCACAAGTGGCTATGGCTGGTACACCCACATAAGTGGGTAGAACCAAGTGATTTCATGATGGAAATCAATCTAAGATGACAGCACTTTGCAATGAATAAAATTCAAATATTTTAGTATTTGGTTTGGCAACACCCACAGCAGGAACTTTTGAAGTAGTTATTTGAACTCACCAGCTGCAACATGGTCAGGTATCGTTTCCACCAACGATACTTCTGAATCCAGGGGCCAAACGCCGTCAGCCCATAGTAGGAGTACATGATCACGTGGATGAAGGAATTCATCTGCGCACCGAAGAACGCTGCAGACAAGCAAGCAAGATTCAGACAGGGACACCAAGCGATGAAGCAGAGACTGAGAAGTGGAAGAATCCATCTTATTTTCTATCTTCCACTCAAATAGAGATAAGGACTAGAAAACAAAGTAACACTGAGAAAATGTCTTCTCCAGTTATACTACAACTGTGTGCAATTTAGACTGAGTTTTAAAAAACTATAAATGAAAATGCATTGTTCAAATGCAAAAGATTTTTGAAGTGGTAAATTCTCAAATGGAGTGCACCCACACAAAAAAAAAAAAATCACTCAAGAAAAATAATTCTTATTTTTTTCATCATATATGAATCTATATGTTTCATGGCATGTGTACATTTTAACCATTCATCCCACAGGTGATTTTACAGAATGGTTCTCTCAGAGGTACAGGTGCTGGATTTGATCTTTGAGGACATAATAGCACAAGTGGCTATGGCTGGTACACCCACATAAGTGGGTAGAACCAAGTGATTTCATGATGGAAATCAATCTAAGATGACAGCACTTTGCAATGAATAAAATTCAAATATTTTAGTATTTGGTTTGGCAACACCCACAGCAGGAACTTTTGAAGTAGTTATTTGAACTCACCAGCTGCAACATGGTCAGGTATCGTTTCCACCAAAGATACTTCTGAATCCAGGGGCCAAACGCCGTCAGCCCATAGTAGGAGTACATGATCACGTGGATGAAGGAATTCATCTGCGCACCGAAGAACGCTGCAGACAAGCAAGCAAGATTCAGACAGGGACACCAAGCGATGAAGCAGAGACTGAGAAGTGGAAGAATCCATCTTATTTTCTATCTTCCACTCAAATAGAGATAAGGACTAGAAAACAAAGTAACACTGAGAAAATGTCTTCTCCAGTTATACTACAACTGTGTGCAATTTAGACTGAGTTTTAAAAAACTATAAATGAAAATGCATTGTTCAAATGCAAAAGATTTTTGAAGTGGTAAATTCTCAAATGGAGTACTCCAGTGGGCTTAAGTAAATTAATAAAAATTACTACTGCCCGCCCCCACCTTCTCCTTTTAATTCTACCGTTCCTTGGAAAAAGAGGCTATGGTACATTTAAGTGTTTCCCTGGACTTATGCCATTATTTTCTCTAGATGCATCAAAACACCTCTCCAGGGCAATGCTTATAGGTTTCCACATGGTTTTAAATATGATAGCATTATACATTAAGTACCAATCCACCTAGTTTATATAAATTTCGTGCTATCCCACTCAGTCTCATGCAATAGCATTCTTTCTCTTTAGAGTGCTAATTGAATCAAAGTATAGATATAATAATGAATTGTATCATGAAGTGAGTTGACAGAGTCAGTTTAGACTTACTAATTTTATTTTAAACTCAGAATTTAACTTTAATAGCAATTTACACAGTGACATGCCCAGTTTGCCATTGTTACAAGACATTTCCCTGGGTCTCTGCCCAACTGTGAATTCTGATCCTCTTTAACACTAACGAGGCTAATGTAAAGGTTTATTTAATTAAGAACCAACAGGTCATTTAAAGTCTTTACAAGAGCAGGAGTTAACTCTGAGCCTGACTAAAGAGAAGTCACTGTGTCTCATTCTTTCAGACCGAAAGTGCCAGTCAGTACGGCTCCCCACCCAAGTATGTATCGTTTTCTGGCATTTAAGCTTGGTTTATGCCCATTTGGGGGCAAATCTTTAGGTGTCCCGTTCATCAGAGATGAAAAGCCGAAGTCTCTAAAAAGTGAGATGAGCATGAATGGAGAGGCAAGCCATGAGAACAAGCAACATGACGCACCAGGGAAACCTACTTTCCACCAAACTGCTCGGGAATTTCAGAAAGGCAGACGGATTCCTCACCTTGGCCTCCTGCCACCCACTTGATTCCAATCCACCACAGTGTGAACATGGTGCAGTGATGGTATACATGAAGGAAAGACACCTGGTTGTTTTTCTTCCTCAGGATGAAAAACACTGTGTCCAAATACTCAACTCCTTTTGATACAAAGTACCACCACAAAGCAGCCGCTATCTGTAAAAAGGAAGGGAAGGATGTCATAAAACCCAAATTATGATTATAAGGGCTTCTCCTTAGTGTTAATAAATACAAAATACAATGCACAAAATGTACAAGGCACAGACTCATCCTCTAGTTAAATAGGTTTCAGGGGCGGGGGGAGGGGGGGGGAGCACAAACCCAAAGGTTTCTCAGAGCTACACAGTGTCAAACTGCTGAACACAGAGCTGTAAGCACAACCACACAGCTATGCTTTTCTGTTTGGTAGAAAAACCAACATGTTGACTTTATAAAGTTATTCCAGGTATTCCTATAGAGTCTAAGCTTATGTAGCAACTAGTTTCAACATCTGTCTCTCTCACACACACTTTAACTGTACAACAAGGTGTCTAATTATTGCAGCTTAACTGTACAACGTGTCTAATTAACGTAGCTTGTATTAGTAGAATCATTAAAATGATCAATTCAAAAGAAAAACTGAATATTTCCTAGGTCATAAATATGATCCTGTTTATTTGAGTAAGTCTTTTCTTGGGCTCTAATTAAGACAACAGATGATACAAAAGATTATATGACATGTTGGTATGGGGACTCAGGTTTGCTTTGCTTAGAGGGGAGCCTGCTGGCTTCGGGGCAGGGGGTCTGATCGGCGGCGACAGAGTCAAACTCTGGGACCTGTGTCTTCCCAACAGGACGATTTATTTTAGAATTCATATGGTTTTTATACATTCCAAGGAACTAGCAGTCACGTGGGATATGACAGTCACATACAAAGATTTAGGGTACAAAGAAACAGGACATTTAGTCTGTTAGTTGGCGCCAGGATTCTTAAACTTTTACTCAAGGTTATCAATGCCCATCCAGTAATTTATTGGCCACAATGTTTTCTTTCTTAGAGCTAAAAGCATGGTAAACTTAGCTTTTAGCTCAGGAGTAAACCTTTAACCTGGCCTAATCTCTTAGCCAGGGATAGCTGAATTATTTGTTTAGGACAAGGAGATGAGCTAAGGGTTGTTGACCAACACGCTTTCCCATAGAGCAGGGAGCCTGCACTTTTATGACCAGGCCGCATCCTCCTGCCAGCCCAACAGTGTTCTGCAAGGCAGGGATTATCAGAGCCACTGCTTTCAGTGCCTCTCCCTTTTAGCAGAGAATGCAGCCTGGACCTGTAAGTTTTAGGCTCACCTCACCCTAGGGCCTGGCATCCTGGTTTCCTACATGTTGGGATTAAGGATCCAGCAAGAGGTGACCTCTGCCTATGTTTTTAAGCATTCTACGAGGATGTTATTGTAATGGTAACCAAAAACTAACTTTTGCATATCAAGTATTTTCTACAAATATATGTAAAACTAACAAATAAGTCAGCACATAACTGAAATGAATTTATAAACCTTTCTGTGATAGAAGATTGATAGGTGTTTTAAATGAAAGATGCTTCTTCATTTTATACCTGCATCTAGTGGATTAAGCTTTTGTTTTTGTGTTGTTTTGCTCTTAAAAAACAAAATTTGAGTGTTGGGAGTCATAGTCAGTGTTTCATGGCAATGTAAAAATATTGATTATTTTCAATTCTAGAATCAGACATCACTTAGAATAAGCATTCCCTAAAATGACAATTTAAAACACTAAAGGCAAGATATAAAATAAAGTCTTGTGTTTATCAGTTGACTACCATTTATTCAATCTGAGCAATACTATTATCAATGTCAAAATTTGTTGAAAATTAGCTTGAAATAGTTTGCCCACAGCAACACTCTAATATCCATGACTATGTTAACTACTTCAAAGTGCTGTCCATTTTAGTGCCATCAACTTTGGTAGGTCATGTGTGCCCAGCCTAGACTCAGCCATTCTGTGGCTGCACTAGCTGTCTTGGAATGGGCTAGCCAAGGCAAGAAGCAATGCTTCATGGCTATGCGCATCGCACGAGAATCAGTCTCCGAGTGAAATATTCATTCCACCCTTGGACAGCAGAGGGGAGCAGAAGGAGGATCCCAAATGCGGTCCACTCAGTTCTCAGGGGTTTCCTCTTGGGGCAGTTTTCACAACAGCTCGTTACTGAACGTTTGTGTGTCAGTGGGACAGGTTCACAATCAACCGGGTGGTCATTTTGACCTTTACCCTAATAATACTAATCTATTGCTTTAACCAAGGGGCTTTTCTATGTGTATTCCTGGGAGAAAGGGAGTCAGACATTTCTCCTTTCCCTGCTTTTAACAAGAAGCTGGCTCTCTGCCAAGGAGATTCTCTGGCAGTATGGGTATCAGCAGAAAATCTTATTTCTTGTACCCTGTGAATCCAAACAAAGAAGGCTTCTCATTCTCTCAGCCACACCCTGGGTTTTATTTTCTTAACTGTTTGCTGTCATGCTGACTACTTGTCGCCCAACCCTCACCAGAGTGTGCGAGCCATACAGGCAGAGACCTTACCTGTCCTCACCTCTGCTGCCTGGGCTCCCACTATTATCTGCAAGGAGGCAGGCTCAGCACAAACTTACTGAGTGAATGAAGCCAATGTGGCAACCAAAGGGGTGAATTTTTCATTAGTCTACAAGCCTTTACATGGATGACATGGGTATAAAGTGGTAAGTATATTAAAGCAGATCAGTTATGGGTCTGGGTGAATATTCACATCTATATTCCCTAAACTCAATGCCAGAAAGCTGATGTTCTCAATGGAAGCTATAACATTATAGTTATTATTACATATATTAACAAACACATGGGATGTGCAAGACATGCATAAGTACATAAAACTGTGTTTTATTATATATAATTTTTAGATGATTGGAAAATAAAATACATTATATTATTAGTGATTTTTCTAAAAATTTAATAAAGACCAAATCATACCTACACATTTATGTTATGTACAGTTTCCTAAATATTATATAGTTCATAAAATATTTTACTCAAATAAATTAGCCCTCTTGGTGACTGTCTATTTTTGAGACAAAAAATAATTTTTTAAGGTAGTCTCACTAGGTAGCCCTGACTGGCCTGGATCTACTATGTAGACCAGGGTGGCCTTGAACTCAAGAGATTCTGTTGGGATTAAAGGCATGTGCCACTATACTGACAAAAAAAAATTTATATCAGACATAGAACTATTTTTAAAACACTATATATTAGCAATTCAGTATATATTCACCCTCACAACACCAGATCAAAGAACATTCTGGAAACATGAAAATGGAGTTTTTCAACTATGTGCTTTTAAAGAAAAGCAGACCTTTATTTACTCCAAACAACTCATTTCGTTACCACACTATAAAGCTAGTCAACAGTATTCATTGGCATACTTACCCTGACTTCATTAACATTATTGGAATAATCCACGGTCTGGCAAATATAGCTATAGCCGGCATTATACGATCCCATGAACAGCTGGGGACACAAACAGTAACATCTGAAATAAAGTCTTAGCAGGCACAGCACTCAAAATGCTAAATTTGACATGCAATCTTTCAAATTATTTTAAAAATAATATTTTCTTTAAAAACATTTCAAATGCACCAAACATTATTTTAAATTATTTTCTCTATCTTCTGTGGTGCTGGGGATCACACCCAGAACCTCACAAATACTAGGCAAGTGTTCTGCCACTGAGCATAACCTCAGTCCTGAAGTGACATGTAAAATGTTAGAAATTCTAAGTCACTGTGTGTCAGCTTTTCCTATAACTTTAAAAAAGATCAAATTAAGTGGGCATGGTGGCACATGTCTTTAACTCCAGTATTTGGGAGGCAGAGGCAGGGGAATCTGTGAGTTTGAGGCTAGCCTGGTCTACATAGCGAGTTCAAAGCCAGCTGGGACAACTGGGAGACCTTGTCTCAAAAGGACAAAAAAAAAAAAATTAAAAACCAAGCATAATCTTTGGACCAAAATACCAACTTCATTTAGTTTATTAGCTAGAAAAACTTTAAGGAAAAAAATGTCATTGTTTAGAGAATATTTTATTAATTTCTGTAATGAAACTCATGTATGTAAGACCTTACGTAGTAAATACAGCGTGCTTTGGAGGCTGGAGAGATGGCTTAGTGGTAAGGAGCATGACTGCTCTTGCAGATGACCCAAGTTTGATTCCGAGCACCCATGATGGGCAGCTCACAACTGCCTGTAACTCTAGAGGATATGACACGTCTAGCCTCCACAGGTACCTGCACTCACGTGCACATATCCCCACACAGACACACAGACACATAACTACAAATAAAATAAATAACTACAGTGTGCTACTTCTGTACAAATAAGAAAAGGTTTACATTTAGTATTTCTAGATCAACATAATTCTTGATTTACAATGCCAACTCAATAAAAGATAAATTTTTATAGCCACAATTTTGAACCTGCCTTAACTGGTTTGTATTCTTGATCCAGAGTTGTCTGTGCCTAGCAAAGTAAGTAAAGGTCTCTTTTAAAAAATTCCAATGGACTCTGATATGAACATTTGAAATTTGCCTTGTTCTGACTTTTTTCTGGTTCCCTGTCTAGAACTTGTAATGCTAATTACTCTTGCCTTTACTTCTCTTTCACATCCCCTATTCACCAGTCAAGGACTTTCTTTTCTCCCTACAGATAAGAATTATGCAATTTGGGAATCTTTTATATAGACCCACTGAAGGGGTACCCCAATTGCCTCACCCTGCGTCCGTGTTCAGCATGGAAGAAGCCAGGGCAGTCTGTGACCAAATTCCCTATCGGCAATTTGGGTGACCTCTTCAGAGGACAGTGTGATAAGAATAGGTGGTAGGAACTGGCTAGGCAGTTAGGGTAAAAAGACCCCTGAAGAAAAGTAGCCAGTTTCTCGGCTAAAAGTCAAACTGTCCTTTGGGCCTTTTAGTAACATACTGTGCTCCAAAGGCCAAAAATGTCAAAAGAATTTGGGAGCTTTTATCTAATCCCTAAAAGGTTTTAGGGTTACCTCTTTAGAGAGGGGAATGTTAAGAGTAGCAAAAGCCCCAGAAAGAATGAAAGAACGAAAGAACAAAAGAATGAAAGACAGGCCAGCTGGGGCTATAAGGAGACCCTTTCTCAAAGAAAGAAAGAAAGAAAGAAAGAAAGAAAGAAAGAAAGAAAGAAAGAAAGAAAGAACATGAAGTTGTCAGAAAAAAGTGATGGGGAGATATGGGAGGAGTTGGAGGGGAGGGAGTGGGTGTGGATTTGATCAAACACCTTATATGCATGTATGAAATTCAATAAATTTTTTAAAGTTAAAAAAAGCAATTAAAGTTTTTGTAAAGTTGAGATTCTATTCTTTTTTTCTGTTAGCAGAAAGTTTTCTAAAAAAATAGTTATGTAAATTTTCTTAGTACCAATAATTGGTTATCACCTTATACAGAAGTTTAATATGTCTCTTAGGAACAAATTCCTTAGACTTTTGCAACTTAAAAAATGTGTCAGGGCTGGAGAGATGGCTGAGCAGTTAAGAACACTGGCTGTTCTTTCAGAGGACCCAGGTTCGAATCCCAGCACCAACCTGGCAGCTAAAAACTGTCTGTAACTCCATTTCCAGGGGATCCTACAGCCTCTTCGGTCCTCCACAGCCTCTTCTGTCCTCCATGGGCATTGCACGACATGGGTGCACTTACTTACATGCAGGCATAACACTCATACACATAAAATAAAAATTACAAAGTATATTTTTTAAATGTATGTGTCAATCTAGTATTCAGGGTTTTCTTGTAAAATGTCCTGAAGAATTCACTGGTATTGAGAAGAGTGTGTGATGGGGGCTGAAGAGATGGCTCAGCAGTTAAGAGCACTGACTGCTCTTGCAGAGGACCCAGGTTGGGATCCCAGCACCCATGTGGCCGCTAATAACTGTTCCTAACTCCAGTTCCAGGGTATCCAACACCCTCTTCTGGACTCTACATGCATGGCTACACTTACATATATGCACACAAAACACTCATACTCCTAAAATAAAAATAACTAAATCAAAAAATATAAATAAAAATGTGTGATGGTTATTTGTTATAGCTCCAGGACAGTTAATTCATTCCAGTTCCAACACAAAATGCAGTAAAATTACTTAACACAAGTGAAGTTAAAATAGGTACTTATATCTATTTTGATCAGGTGCCAGCTCTGAAACTGATATACAAGGACTCTAAATAACTACTGTTCACCAAGTGAACAGTGTATGTGCCAAACACCCTGAAAAGATTCTCTCAGTTACCTCTAATAACAGCCCCACTTGGCAGATACTCTCCTCATCTGAGAGATGAGAATGAACCTTCGAAAGCTGAATAACTTCCAACATCAAACAGTTCATGAGAGGAACTTGAGAATCCATTCTCTCCTTCTAGGTTCCCCTTAACATCTGTCCTGTACTTTGTTTCCTACTTTTGTCATCTACAAATTTTAAATGCTAAACATTTACTCCTAGAGTAGCTAACAGCTATCTTGGGATACAAGACTGTAACGATGGTTTCATGTGGTCTCAAGTTTTAATTTCTGACAATCCTGGGGAATTATTATAGAGTGACCTTAATAAACCAACCTCTCTGAAGATGAAAAGGTTAAGCAAAACCATCCCAAAATTATAGATTATGAGCACCAAGCGCATCTGAAATGGCTCCCGATCCTTCATCCACTTTGGGCCCAGCCACACGAAGAGGAGATAAAGAGTGCTTATGCTCAGCGTAGGCCACGGAGACTGCATCAGTGGCCAGTCTTCCACACGCTTATCTACAGAGAAAATGAAATAACATGAAATTCACATGGCAAGAAACATTTTATAGCATGGACTTTTTTAGGAATTAAAATGTTCTAAGTTGGTAATCGGACCAAAGACAGGTCACCATCCCAAATAAAAAGACATGGTATTAAAAACACAACCAAAGGCCTGGAGAGGTGGCCCGGCAGTTAAGAGCACTGGCTGCTCTTGCAGAGGATCCGGGTTCAGTTCCCAGCACTCACATGGTAGCTAACAACCATCTATAACTCCAGTTCCAGGGGATCCAATGCCCTCTTCTGACCTCAGTGGGCACTGCATGACACAGGTACACTTACATACATGAAGGTAATACACTCATACACATAAAATAAAAATAATAAATAAAATATAAAAAACCCCACCACCACCAAAAACGAAAAACAGACTGATTCCACAAGTAGCTTTGGAAAATCATTTTCATTACTTATGTGACATGGTCACATCATCTAAAATATAAAGAATCTAAAAAACAAAGAGAAGAAGTACACTAAAGATATAGGAGCTAAGCTTGACATGAAAAGTGAAAGACTTCGAAGACTGAAAACAATATTGTAAGGAAACCCTTGTCTTCCGTGTTAAGCATTTGAAATTTATCAAGCAGTACCAAACTGTTCTCTATATCCACCCCTAAAATGAGCAAAACTTAGACTGATGAAGTGGGACATGGAAGCCAGAGGCTAGAATATCTCTAGAAACAGTGTTAGCTTGAGTCACACGTGAGGAATTAAGCCAGTGTTCGCTCTTTATCTTGCACAGTAGCCACATTCAAGGACGATATTTACATTTCCATCGATAGCATGCATCAATTTTACCATCTCTAAGTAACCAAACTGTATGGATAGCTAAACCTAATTTGCATATGCGTAAATACACACAATGCAATGTCATATCTCTTAAAATAAACTGATTGCCCGTAATATTCAAATACACAGTCATTCATAAAGTTCGTAATACAATATTTCCTAAACTGGAACATTTCTAAGATAACCAATGATAATATGAGATTATGAAAATTTCCCTCTTATACATAAAAATATTAAAATTAAACACCATTTTCTTTTTAAAATCAAATGTCTATTTTATTTTTGGCAATGCAAAACACGTATGTTTTACATTCTATTTTCAGGAAAATAATTATTTCTAAAACTCAAGAAAAAGACTCATTTAGTCAATTCCTAGAATCCAGCCTACATGAATTTAACATATTGCTGATTACAATAACCCCTATTTAAATTGAGTTGTTTATTAAAACTATATATGCAAAATGGTTCCAGATTAGGTTACCAGGTACTAAAATACCAGTTTAAAAATATACTGCTGTGTGTGGTAACACACACCTTTAATCCAAATCCCAGTACTCGGGACTCAGAGGCAGGTAGATCTCTGTGAGTTCAAGGCCAGCTTGGGGCTACAGGGGAGACCCTCTCTCAGAAAAACCCCAAAAATCATACACAAACTCTCTCTCTCTCTCTCTCTCTCTCTCTCTCT